TCAAAACACTTTATTTGATTATTAGCATGCAAAATTCAGAGATTATTTGATCATTCAATTAATGTCACAAATTTTTTTATTATAATTTAAGTACTTGATTTGATTTAATTTGGATTCTTATAAGCACTTCTGGTGCATTAGAATGTCCTTGTTAAGATATTCAGTTCAAATATCCAAAATTGAAGTTTAGATTATCTTAAATTTAATTCTAACAGTTTCAAATTCAAAGATTCATTGAGATTTATGTTTAATTAGATAAATTTTCTTGTATATATCAATACCATATCATGCCCTCAACTAGTAAAAAAATGATAAGATGATCACACCCTTAGCTGATCTAATTAACATGTTCCTGCCACATCAAGGTTAGTTGGTTAAGCACTGGGGTTGTTTATGATGGTAAGACTTCAATCACAAGCAAAGAAATCTACAATTAATCAATGGAAGGTACCACTTAAAAGCCCTTTGACACGTCAATCTGTTTGGAAAACGAGTTAGGTTCGGATTTTATATTTTGACCCAATTGTACTTTCGGGTCAGGTTCAGGTCAACCCAAAAATGCACTTGTCCCATCGTTCCAACTTTTGTTGTGCTCGCTCTATCGTATGTACTTGCACGCTTGTCCAGTTGTGACGTCATTTGTGCTCACACACATGCCCATGCATCGAGCTCGCCTCGTCACCTTTCTGTGAATTGCGCCCACCGGCTCATGCGTCGTGCCTATTCACACTTGGGTTAGCTGGTCGGGTCATGCCGATCAAGTTGGCGTCTGGTCGTGTTCGGATCCAGATTTCTAACCCGTTTATCAAATCGGGTTGAGTTCGAGTCAGGCGAGTTAAAGCCAGGTTAATTTTGATTTGAAACTGAACCTGATCCGAGAAAAAACTATTTTGGCACCCCTAATATGAAGCCAAATTTGGAGTATATGTTGTATTTTAACTATTGGGCACAACCTTGGCAAACTAATCGATGAATCTATTAAGAAAGATAACTTCTGAAGATTGTATTGGGTGTGCTAATAAATGAATTATATGAAAGTGATGGAGGTAGATGATATATAACTTGTCTAAATGTACTATATCTATTATAAATGTATTGAAATAAGAGTACAATTTTTTTTAAAAATAATTTTAAATTTTAATTTTTTGATAATTTTTTATAGAACTTTCCTTAAATTCATTCAATATCACTATTATCATCAAATATATATATATATATATATATATACAATCAAAATGCAAGGCTATAAATAAAAGCTATAAAACAAAGTTATAAAAATTATTTATGATTGTACAAAATCAAAAGAAGAAAAACTTAAAGACTCGTACCAGATTCTTGAAATTATTATTTAACAAGCTCTTTTCCTTTCCCATACCTTAAAAGTAGAATGCAAAACTACAGTGAGCTAAAACAACTTAATAGGCAACAAATACTGATCTAAATTTATAAAAATTTCTTTTATTATTTTTTTTTTCAA